ATACACACAGCTTATCTAATCGCAGCATCTCACAAGAGCCTTCAGTGAAATCCAATCACAATGCTTTATTGGAGGTTCTTGTTTGCCTCGTTGAAAAGAAGAAACATGTAAAACCCTTTTCGAACCTGCATGAAGAGAGCAAGAATAAATCATGTTTGCTCAACCGTTCGCCGGGAATTCGCCAAAAGTGTTATTATGTGTTTGCCTTTTATACCACAGGGTTTAGAGTTGTGAGATTACCGTAAGAAAACTGTGTGTGATATTTATTAATCTGAGAATATAAATATTACATCCTATCACCAGTGGGTGGTGAAAAGTGACTGTCTCCAAGTCATTAAATCGTTAATTTATTCCAAAATATAGTGGTCATTTAGAATTAAACATGTGACGGCCTTTATGAGTGAGTCATTCAATTGTTTAATCAACGGAATCGTGCAAAACATCAATCAATATTTGTATGTAAAAACGTTCAAATAATACCACCTTCAAAACACTTTTGAACAGCCGTGATACACGCCTGTGAGAACTACAGCCTAAAAAAAGGCACAGGCCCTTCAATATCCTGGCCAAAATCCCTGTTTCATACAGTAAGGATTATGAAAGTTGTTTTGTGATTGGTAGTTTTAAATGGCACACGGCTCAGGAACTGGTTTTATCTTGCTCAATACACAGGGCAAGTCTTTTTTAGTTGAATTGCAGGAAGTAACTGAAGCAGGAAAATTGAATTTTTCCCCCAAAGACGGTGGGTGTGTGGACAGTTCATTCAGCGTGTTTATTGAATTAAACAGTGTTTACAAATGCTTAACCTATCAGGAACTTAATGCACCAGCCCTCTCTTGTTCCACTACACTAAAGCATGACAAAGAGCCATCGCAGAATAAATGCAGATATTTTTGAGTGCACAGTAATGGCTTAAATGTATCATATCTGCATCCTCTTTTCATGAGCAAATGTTCATTTGCAAAAAAATAAGGGATCATTTCTTTCACCTATAGAAAATGGTCCAAATGATTATGTGTCATAATTTTCAAGGGCAGATAAATGAGTATAGGTCATAACCCATGTAAGGCGTATAGGCAGACAACACTATCAGAGGCCTATATAAAGTGATATTGATTCGATGATATAGAGTGGAATCAGGCCGCAACATTTAGAAAATAACCAGGCCGATAAATTCTTATTCCTTCAGAGTGAGGAAATCAATTCTGTTTTGGAGACTTCATACACTTTCTGATTGCATCATGATAGCAGTGGTTAAGTTTCACCTCTGCTGTGAAACGTCAAGCTAAGCGTCCCATAAAAAAGAAACGTCCTTGGGCCACCGTAGTCACATGGGTTGTCTAGATATGTTTTATGAAGTGAAGTAGGCTGACAACCCAACTGCCAATGGTGAGTATATTGAGAAAATTCCCAGCCATAAATATTCCTTAACAGCCATGAAACTGTATTTCGCATCATTTTTATTCAAAACATATATTTAAAACACTTTGACACTGGAATTATTGAGCTGTGGGTTTTTTTTTCACAGAATAATATAAGAAGAGTCATTATCCGTCTCTCAGGGAAACTGCGCCTGTCACAAACGCCAGGACACATTGTGGTTTTGTTCCTGATACTTTCATCTGGGTGGATTCATGTGAGAAATATTCCACGTGTGTGTCACGGCATGGAGTTATGGATAGCCTAATAATAATAAAAATCAGGCGTAAACAAAATTTTCCATTGAAGTAGAGGTTTGTGGGTCTTCAGTTGAATTATATGCCGCTTAAATCAGTGAGGTCAGACTATAATTATTATAATTTGATTTAAAATGTTGCAGTTCTGAATTAAGTTACTGGCAAACAGCTTTAATCGGCTTAATACTATAGCCAATACTGAATTTTACTTGCATTTAGCTCTTGGGGAGTGTTAATTTTGGACCCTGCTGACAACAGACACTTTAGCTCCAATTAAACAAATAAGCCTGATTGATCCCATGTGTTTTAGCGTTTCATTATAAACGTTCCTCATATTTCGGCAGTTTAAACAGTTGTTGTGATGCGTGGCGGCCCAAACTCAACAAGTTAGCTAGCAGCTTTCATGAGCAGGTGTTCAGCACTCTGTAACCCACACCCCACCTAGGGGACCACTCGCCAGAACACTTCATTACATTCCCCACACCTCCTCTGTTTGCTCATTTAGACGACCACAAGCGCCAGGAATGACAGGTGGCTCCACTTTGGCATCCTGGTGTTTGGGTGAGATTTGAGGAAGATCAGTCGTTTAGCAAAGCATTAATTAGTTGGGAGAGCGGTTAAGAAAACCCAAATATCAGTATACCAATGATGACCAAATACCTGCCCTTGTAGCAGATGCTGAGCGGAAACAAATTAAGAGCACCTATAGCAGAGCTTTTTAATTATGTGATTTTGTTGCAGAACTTTTTAATAATGTGATTAAAAACCAAGCATAGAGTGACCCTTATTTGAACACTTGAGCCCCTCTTAAAAATGTCTGAATGTCATTCTATTAGATAAAATATGTAGCATAAGCTTATAAGGAGAGCACAAGCACTTTTCAAGCAAAACATCGTGCCCCAGTTTCACAGACAAGTCTTAAGCTTAGTCCCTGACTAAAATGCATGTTTGAGTTGTTTTAACTGAAAGCAACTTGCACTGCTTATCTTAAAATATGTCAGTGTTTTGTCTCAAGAAGCACATAAGTAATGTCTTTTCTAAGGAATGATTATACTTAAATGTCCTAACTGAACTTAGCCCTAATCCTGCGTAGTCCTGCCATGTCTGTGAAACCAGACCTGTAGGTTTGTTTTATTTATTTTTTCAAATTTCTTCCTTTAAAGAATTCCTAGGAATATTTTTTTTAAAATATGATTCAAATCTAACATCTTGATGATAACACTGTACCTTAATGATTTATTGGTTGATATTAATAAACTACTGTAGTTAAAACAATGAATAATTTTACATGATACATTATTAAAACAAACTGGCTCATTATTAAAATCAAAAATTCTGTCTGTTAACATTAGGTGCCATACACTGTGAAGTAACATAAATAAACAATGAACATTTACTGTATTTATTAAATGGTAATACTTTATTGTACAGTGTCTTTGTTACATATGTTACATGTACTTACTGTAATAACAGTACATTTTGCATAATTACACGCGACTAACCCTAAACCAAACCCTTATCCTATAGTAAGTACATGTTGTTAATTAATATTACTCAGTACAATGTATAGTAACATTGTAACAAGGACACCTTAAAATGAAAAGATACTTTTTAATATGTTTAATTTGTTTAAAAGTGCAATTTAAAATTGATTATTAATTTTATACTTTACATAAAAAAATAACACTGAACTAGAGTGCATCTAGTGCAAACATAAAAAAAAATAACACCAAACACAAAATGCATTTTAAAGGGATACTCCACTTTACATTTTCCGTCGGTCTTAGTGCACGCTGTAACTACAGAAGAGTCAAGTTTTAAATAGGAAAAATATCGAAACTCTTTGGTCATTTTTTTTTTATAAATGCTAATGGTCTTATCCACTTCAATGATGTATGCTAAGCTATGCTAAAAGTGGTACCGCCAAAACCGGAGATCGGCTGAATGGATTCAAAAACGGTAAAACTTGAGGGGAGTTGTAAAATGAGCCTATTTCCAAAAAAAGTGGAGTATCCCTTTAAAGACACAAGCATAGTCCAGGATGAAATCCAAAAAGCAAGCAACACACCTCAAAAGTGGATACACAAGAAAAAAAAAATGTGTGGCAGGCCATCGCAATGTAGCATCCGATCCCCACGCGCCAAATGAACCCAACAACTTGCAAAGCTGTCCATTTCATCTGATGTATGTAGTTGTCCAACATGTGTCAGTCTGAAGCCCTGTCCAGTGGGATGAATGGGAAGGGGCAAAACAAACAAAATGGAAAGTGTTAATGGAAAGACCTAGTGGAACAGGTACATAGTCAATGAAGTTTACCTGTGGTTAATCTTCTAGGACACCCATGTTTCTGAAGCTTTAACTTAGATGTATTTTATTTTAATTTAAATGAGATGTAGGCTATACTGTAGGTATTAAGTAGTATTTTATTTTAATTTAAATGAGATGTAGGCTATACTGTAGGTATTAAGTAGTAAAAATACCTCAGAAAATTGAAGTTAAAAAAGGGGTCCAAAACATACTTTTTAAGTATATGTCCATACTTGTTTCTGTGAACCTTCTTGATATATTTCCCTGCGTTGTTCATTAAGTATAGCTGGACTTTATTCACCCTGTGCATTGTTGTGTCATTGTGCTTCAGCCAGTGAGGCAGCTCACATTACAACCTCTGGTTTTACCCTGGCAATTCAGTCCACGCTGTTGCCCAGGTTCATTCTCTAGGGCTGTTTCAGTGCGGATAGCTTGGCAGTTTAAAGCATGCCGGGCACCCGTCCCGCCCTGCGGTGGTTTCTTACCGAGCTGACGCAGCACGGCACTGGCTCCATTTCAGACCCTCATTTCTATACAGCTGCTGTGATTTGATGCCATGTCCAATTGCGGTGAAATATTAGTGCCCAAGTATGCAGTGAAGAACAAGAGCAACAAGAGGGCAAGAAGTTGGTGAAGTGCCACTGAAATGGGCCCTTTTTTTCAAGGCCAGTAGGCATTTCAGCTCCAAATTGACGCAGGATGTTTGTGTCTGAAATGGCAGTCCTGAATATGTCGTTTGTCACTAAGGAAACAATGCAAATGAGCATTTAACGCACATCTGAACAGATGGCAACTTATTAAAGACAGAGACGCTTTTATCTCATATGAGGCAGTGCGCAGGGCAAATGTGTGATGTGAGATGGTTTTTTAGCATCCATCTTGCCTCACACGTTCACATTCGCATCCCTCCTGCTGCGCTGCTCTACATCTTCACTCGCTTTCATTCTTATTTTCATTTGTCTCATGCAACATCTTTGAACGTTTAGCTCATGTTTAATGTCTTTCTTCATTTGGCAGCTGGGACCACGTATATTTTTGGGAGAGGAGGAGCACTCATCACATACACCTGGGCACCCAATGATCGGCCAAGCACCCGGGCGGACCGTTTGGCCGTGGGCTTCAGCACCCAGCAGAGTGATGCCATCCTGGTGCAGGTGGAGAGCAGCCAGGGCCTCGGAGACTACCTGCAGTTGCACATCGTGAGTATCATAGCTCAGTTTGAAGCTCTAATAGGCTTCTTAATTTGGATATTTCTTGTCCTACAGTCCCCTGCGGGCTTTATATTAACACACAGGTGACTCAAGTGTCTTTTTATTTATTTCAGCTCGGTTGAAAGGTTTATGAAGTCTTTTTGTATTTAAGAAAACTGTAAGACTGTCAATTTGATGTTTAGTGTGGTGTAAAAAACATAGTGTGAAAAAAAAACATTATTAATAATAATGTACAATGTTTTACAATAATAACATATCTTTTTTTTAAGCAGGAAATAGTTTAGTGTGATTGATAATAAAAAATAGTGTGATAACAATAATGTATATTGTTTTTATAATAATTATCTTTAATGTACAATATTTTATTATTCTTATATTATAAAACTAATGCTCAAGTGGGAAAAGGACAGCTTCTTTTGGGAGCCACATGTCTGTAGATAAACATGTAAACATGATACAGAGCTAAAACTTACCACTGACATACGTAAATGTTATGCCATGCATTTATGCCATGTCGTAATGACCATAAATTCTAGATGACAACCCTAGCCATTCCACTAGGAGCTGCTCGCATCCTCTGAATCAGAATTATGCATTTTTATGGCAACACTATAAGCTTCAAAATAAAAATTGTAGTAATCTGAATAATCAATTGACAAAACCACAATATAACATGAAACAAGTCATTATTCATATGCCTTATTAATAAAGTTATCGCTCATTTAGTGGGACATAAGCATTAGCTACATTAAACTGTATTGTATGTATTTTTTTTTTATTCTTTATTTAGATTGTTCTTACATTATTAAGACATTAACAATTAGTCAATAATAGGAATTACAAAATAACTGCTTAACTACATTTTACTGAAGCTACCGCCATTTCGAGTGTTTACACATGACATTGTAGCAGTCAGGTGGTACAAGTAATGTTGTACTGTAATTACAGTGCTTCTACAAGGATGTGAACGCTTTTTACAAACGGAATATCGTAATTACGATAATTACGACGAGGCCCGGCACTAGAAGGAGGCATTGCCCCCTCAGATCTGATATGTGCCCCCTCAGTTTCAATTTGTCCCTCCACCGCCGATTCCAAAACTTTAACCCTTTGACACGTGCAATCACACCAGATTGGTGTGCTTTCAGCGCGTCACATGATCAACTGCTAAATTTAAATGTGCTTTCGCGCTTTGGCTGGCTCTGAGCCAGAGACAGATGAGCTCAGCACTCATCATATATCACAACTATTCAGTGATTTCAACCACATAATGCTTATTTTGGGTTTCAGACATTTAAATAGACATTTAAATTAAGTACTAGCCCAAAAAAAAACATTTATAGTTTATTAAATACACACTGATGTCTATGGAAGCAGCAATAATAATCCTTTCAATTATAATTTGACAGCGTGTTTTATTCATATCAGTTACACACTGGGCAGGTAACTATAAAGTTTACTGTATTCTCCCACTTCACCGGCCACTTACTTTTATGTATTTGGGGAGAAATGATCCTATTATCTGAGTTGCAGTGCAAACTAACCTCAACTAACATGATCTTTATAAAGGTGTTTAAAAAAAACACATTCACTTACACATATTTGACAATTGGAATATATCAGATAGCTCATGATATAGTTAACAAGGTTAGGAATATTTGGAATAACAAATGGAAAAACGAATGGCCCCCTCAAGATATATGAATGCACCGCCCAGTTCATGTGTCCTGGCACCGGCTCTGATTCCGACATGCGTGAATGCAACTTCATTCATTCTGCTGTGATAAAACTCTGGTATGTATTTTGTCTGGAGGCTTTTGTATGAGCAATGCTACTGACGTAGTCTTTGCCATTTCCATTCACTCAGTTTGGGAACTGCTGACAGAGAAACTGATGCAAATTGACTTGGATAAAAATCTTAAGTTGAATAATTTCAGAGAACGCTTCAGGGGCTCCAGACGTATGAAGCTATATTCATGAATCAAATGATGAATAGAAGCTATGTCCTTACATTCAATTCTCCTTGATAAGATCCAAGCACACCCCCTCCCCCAACCAGGCAGATAGGAGAAAATTACCCCAAAAATGATGGAATCATTAACAGTTTCTTAAGAAAACAACATGCCCTTTCATATTAATTTAGCCTATTAAAACAACATAGGGCTGAGATAGTATGACGGTAGATCAAGCTTGTAAATGCCTCGTTGACCTCTTGGCTTATTACTTGCAATTATATTTCAGGGGAGTAAAAAAAGATGCATTTTAATAAGGTTCCTCCGAATGAATAATTAATTCAGCGTGAACTGTCGACTTTCACACTGTGAGCCGCCATGGCAGCACAGCCATAAACAGTCTGAGAGCAGCTGCTCTGCCAGACACAGACTGGGGCTTGTTTTCAGAAACTTCCTCCTCTCGTCACAGACACAAAGCACAAGAGCCTCCCATTCTGTGGGCTGAAGGATGGATCTGTGCAGGATTTTTTTTATGTCCTTTCTGGTGGCTTTTTTCTCTGTGTTGGCATCTATCAGAACAGTGATTCCCAATGTGGGGGAAATGTGTACTCCTACAGAGATGTTTACACCTGTAGATCTGAACACAGTTCGTTTTTAAGGAAAGAAAACAAAATCATCTTTTATATAAAATGAAATAATAAATGTGTATATATATATATATATATATATATACTCTATACACACATACATACAGTGTATATATATATATATATATACTCTATACACACATACATAGTGTGTATATATATATATAATGCAATGTTATGTAGAGTTATGAATTTTCATGAATGACATTTGTGGTACAATATGTGAGATACTTCATATCAAGGCAGCATACAGTGCTGGTCAGAATTATTTGCCCCCTTGGTAAATATGATCAAAGATGGCTGTAAAAAATAAATCTGCATTGTTAATCCTTTTGATATTTTATTTAAAAAATTAGCAAAAATCTAACCTTTGATTGAAGTAAAAGAATTGAAAGTGGGGGGAAAATCACATTATGAAATAAATGTTTTTCTCCAAAACACGTTGGGAACAATTATTTGCCCCCTACTTTTTGCAACCTCCTTTTTCCAAGATCTGAGTCTTCTCCTATAATGCCTGATGAGTTTGTAGAACACCTGACAAGAGATCAGAGACCATTCCTCCGTACAGAATCTCTCCAGATCCTTCAGATTCCCAGATCCAGGTTGGCGCTGCTTCTCTTCAGTTCAGCCCACTCATTTTCTATAGGGTTCAGGTCAGGGACTGGGATGGCCATTGCAGATGCTTGGTTTTGTGCTCAGTGACCCAGGTCAGATGAAACAAAAAAAATATATCTTTTTTGGCAGCAAAAACTTGATGGGTTTGTTGCACACAGGGATAAAAAAGTACCCCATGTGTAAAAGGAAATACTCTGCTGTATCTTTAATTCTGTGGGCCTAATTTTCAGCCAGAGGTCCACATCTTGTTCAGATACATGGCATCATGGATTAGATCAAATACCAACAGATAAAAAATCAAAACCTGACAACCTCTGCTAGAAATCTTATAACGGCCCATGTTTGGATCTTCCAACAGGACAGTGATCCAAAAACAAACATCAAAACAAAAATGGGTCACTGAGCACAAAACCAAGCATCTGCAATGGCCATCCCAGTCCCTGACCTGAACCCTATAGAAAATGAGTGGGCTGAACTGAAGAGAAGCAGTGCCAACCTGGATCTGGGAATCTGAAGGATCTGGAGAGATTCTGTACGGAGGAATGGTCTCTGATCTCTTGTCAGGTGTTCTCCAAACTCATCAGGCATTATAGGAGAAGACTCAGATCTTGGAAAAAGGAGGTTGCAAAAAGTAGGGGGCAAATAATTGTTCCCAACGTGTTTTGGAGAAAAACATTTATTTCATAATGTGATTTTCCCCCCACTTTCAATTCTTTTACTTCAATGAAAGGTTGGATGTTTGGTAATTGTTTTAATAAAATATCAAAAGGATTAACAATGCAGATTTATTTTTTACAGCCATCTTTGATCATATTTACCAAGGGGGCAAATATTTCTGACCAGCACTGTATGTATTTTCATGTGCAAAGAAGAATTTATACTCTTTAAAAATGTTTTAAAAAATAAAAATAATTAGTAACCACAATTTGTTTACAAAATCCGTCTTAATCACTTTTTATTAACAATATAATTAATTACAAAATTAACCAAAAATGTAATGATTAATTGATTGCATTGTATGTACAGTAATAATGTAAATGTAATTTGTTTTTCTTAAATTTCCCTTTGACCCCCTTATCATTTATATTAATTGTTTATTGTTTATGCTGATAAAAGCTATCAGCATATTTGAGCCTTACTGATGTTATACAAAAAGGTCAGGAACGCTATATCAAAAAGACTCTGTCCTCACTAAACTGGTCCAAGCGATGGCATCAACCTTGATTACAGCGCTCCATGATTTGGCTTGTGTCGTAAATAATATTTGGTTGTATATAAAAACGAGTCTGTAAACTTTATGGTAGACATAAACGGCGAGTTATGAAGGAGAGGCGTGGCAAATAGCATGCAAGGTTTCACGCTGCTCTCAAGACAACTCAGCTTACGCCTCAAAATTTGTCCTTCATGTAGCAGGATTTACTTGAGCTTGTAAATTACAACCAAGGACAGATAATCCAATTGGTCGTGAGCATGACAGATGTATGGAATGACTGACTACGGTGGGCGTAGCAGAGCCCCGGCGGCCCTTAGGAGGCTGACTTCAGGGTGTTCCCTTTCCTTCTCTCTTACGACTCATCCCTCTTTCTCTCTCTCTCTCTCTCTGATGATGTTGCTTGGGTTTGTAGCCTCGTTTATTCACCCACGGAGTCTGAGGTTAGATGATAGCTGAGCAGAAACAGCTCAGGCTGATGAATGAGACAGAGCCAGGGGTTGTTACGGCTTGTAATGAATAGCAGACTCATTTTGTATTCTGGGTGGGTGCGTATCGATCTGA